TTATGAAAATTAAAATACATATTTAATATAAAAGAATTTACCATAATATATAAAATAAAAAATTGATTAATATATAACAAAATGTAAAATACTATGATATTTATATACTGTATAATAAAATAACTTGAAATTTTATCAATTTTATTTTTTAAAAAATTTATTTCAGCTTCATAATATATTGTACTTGGAATTGTTCTTAATAATTTTCTATATTTAGTTTATATAATTTGCTTTTTTTGTAACTTAAAAATAATTATTATTTTGTCGGTAAAATGATTGTCGGTAATGTGAACCAGACCCCTTTTTTGGTACCAATTCCACTTTTATAGCATAAGCCTAAATTATATTGTGCATCTCTATCTCCATTTTCTGCTGCTTCTTGATACCAATTAAAAGCTTTAATGTTGTCCTTTTCCATGATAGAAAATTTTTACTATCCGTCGAAGAAGAATTTCTGTATCTGTAAATATAATATATTTTGTAAATGTTGTGTTACATTGCAGTAATGGTAATTTATATAAATAGACGTAGTTAAAAGAGATTAGCGCTCTAAGAAAGACATTCAACACACAAAATTGTCACGATGTTACACAATTTAAATTATGCATATAAAGATTTCGAAAATTTTGACCCACACATTAATCAGGTAGTAGGATAATCAGTACGGTACGAAATTGCAAACCTGTACGGTACGGTTGATCACCCATACAAAATTACAAAATTTGATTAACATGACCGTTCCATACCGTACTGGCACTATAATAAAGAGAAAATCAGTACGGTACATTTAGCATATAATTAATTGACACCAGTGTCCATTTTCCTAATTTTGACACCAATGTCCAAAATGTACATTTTTGTAATTTGGACACCAATGTCCAAAATGTTTATTTTTGTAATTTGGACACCAATGTCCAAAATGTTTATTTTTGTAATTTGGATACCAATGTCCAAAATGTTCATTTAAAACAATAACCGTACCGTACTGTACTGGTTCTATATATAGAGAGATTATTATAGAGCCAGTACGGTACGGTACAGTTGGTTAAATTTTATGGTTGATCATTTCGTACTGTACTGTACTGGTTCTATAATAATCTCTTTATATATAGAACCAGTACGGTACGGTACGAAATGATTATCACAAAAATTGATCAACTGTACCGTACAGGTTTGCAAATTCGTACTGTACTGGATAAATATATATTCTAATCAATCAAAATTCACAGGAACCAATCAATGATCGAACATGATAGATTATTTTTATTTTTATTAAACAGTAATAGTTAGTAAAATACAAGAATTTATAAACAAAGCAAAAATGTATAAGTAAATAAAAAAAATGAACTAAACTAAAAGAAGAGAAAATCTACTTCGACGGTGGAGTAGTTAAATTAAAACTATTTCCATAACTTTTTTTTTTTTTTTTTTAAATAGTAACGCCTTTTATTAATTATTTAAATTTGATACAAATTACATAATTAACTATTAAAACACTTAGGGCTTTTCGAAAATAATTTCTCAAAACCCTATAACTAAGTGATATTTAGAACAATTTATCTAAAAACTAAAAACTATCGTAAAAATGTATCTAATCTAAAAAATTATACATTTTGACTGTATTATCCCAAGTATTACTAATATTAATTCCGTCCGTAATTGATCCTTTTAATTTATCTAGCGTTACTAAATTAATTTTTGTGTTAATTTCTTTTTATTTATTTTTTCTAAATTTTTTTCTATTTTTTTCTTTTTTATAATTTTATTTTCTCCGTCTTTCTCCTTTTCTGAATCTTCTATTACCATTTCACTTTTCTTCCTAAGATCTAATTTTTTTATGTTTGCTCTATCTTCTGATCTCTTTATTTCGTCACAGCATGGAATCCAAATTCTCTGTTTTAGTTCTTCGTAAGTGAAATTCCAAAGTCTTTTTATTAAAGCTTTTTCTTCTTTCTTTTTCGTTAAGCTATTGAAATTTTCGTTATATATTCCTCTCAATAGCTCCCAAATTCTACTTTTACCCAGCAGAATTAATGATGGACTCTCTAGAATTCTAATAAATTCAAAATTATAAGTTTTTAATATTTCTATTTCATTGTTTTGATTAAGATCTTTTAGCTTTTTTCCATTTCCATAACTAACCCACTACCTCCCATACACTAGCTAAAGCTTGGTAATTTGAAGCCCGCCCTGCACGAACATGATAGTTATTGTTAATTATTACGCCATCTGCACAAAAACGTTTTAGAATGGTTGAATCGTTGTCGAACAACTGTCGATCAAATTAGGACAGAAAAAATTGCGTTAATTTTTACATTTATTAAATGCTTGTTTAAACGCTTAAAGTGTAGTTTTAAACGTTTATTATATGCATCACTGATAAATAGAGCAATTATCAGAATTATCAAAATTAATTAATCCTTGTAAATTTCCTAAGTTTATTTGCTTCATGTCTAATTTGGCTTAAACTTTTAAATCTTGGACGCTATTTATTAATTGTAATTTAGTATAAAGAATTTAAATAAAATTTGCTTAAATTGATAAATTCGAATATTTTATCGGCTTGGTTAATTTATCTTGTACATAACTTATTGAAAGTTTTTATTATAAACTAGCAACAGGATTAATATTGATATGCCGCTCACCTTTTTCCTTTTTCTGCAACAGTCTTGTACATAACCTTTTTTTACGTTGTTCAGGCACTTTACCTTCAATTATTTCCACATTAGGATTACAGGATTAACAGCATTGCACATTATATTTATGGGAAACTGATGCCTTTACATAAAATAGGTACGGCAATCAGCATTATAGATGAATTTTTTTATTAGCACTAATAATTATTAATAATAAAAAAGAATAATATTAAAATAATGTAAGTATTAATTATACTAACTAAATAATTTAGAAAATTATAAATTTTTAATTTAAATTTTCTAACTAAAAAAATTATACAAAACAAAAAAAAATATATTTTTATTTGATTGTCACCGATCCAAATCTAAATCTAAAAGATGGAAAAAAAAAATAGAAAAATAGATTAGTAAAATAATAAGAAAAAAATTATTATAAATAAAAATCAGAAAAAAAGATGCTTATCTGATCACCGATCTAAATCTAAAGGAAACATATACAAATATAGTTAATAATATATATATTGTGCCTCAGATCGATTCTTGCCTCAGATTGAAGCTCACGCACCTCACATTGAGATTGTCACCTGACGCACCTCATTTGAATCATTCAATAAAGTCTGTTATAAGTAAACTTTTTTCTCATTAATTAAACCACTTTTTGTAACATAAACAAACTTGTGCNAATACCAACTCCTTTTCCATAATACAAGCCCTGTCTCTTATACACATCTAGATGTGTATAAGAGACAGGATTTAATGAGTATGATTCTAATTAATCTGAAATTTTAGAATTGTATACTTAAAATAATGATAAATAAGTTTACTTAGTACTTAAAAATACATTAAAATTGGAAATTTTGATGTTTAATTATAGCTCATTTTTATTAGCAATTGAGGTGTGTCAGATGACAATCTCAATCTGAGGTGCGTGAGCTTCAATCTGAGGCAAGAATCGATCTGAGGCACAACATATATATATAAAGATAAATAAAAAAGATTATAGAAAAGAAAATCTTAGTATAGATTACAAAGCGGAAAAAAAATAAAAAAAATAAATTTAAAAAAAATCGGATTTGAAGAAAAATTCGGGGTTAAAAAAAATGAAAGTTAAAATTTCGGTTTTAAAAAACCGAAAAAAAATATTAAAAAAAATTCAGTCGAAAAAAAAGACTGAAAGAATATATTGTTATTAAAAAAAAATTCGATCTAAAAATATAAAAAATATTGCTATTAAAAAAAATGGGTCTAAAAAAGGCCGAAAAAAAATAAAAACATTAAAAATTATTTTAAAAAAATGAGACTGAGACCGAAAAAAAGATGTCAGATAGTTGTGATGATACATTCTGCTGCACCGTGAAAATGAAATACGGTTAATAAGATTAAAATTTCAGCAGCCAATTAAGGACAAATTTATTCGGTATTATCTTAAATATCAGTTATATATCTTTCTTTACTAAACATTTTGAAATACATATAAAATGCTCCTCGTATGTGTAATTATCTAATTTAAAATAAAAATAGTATTGCTGTTTTAATTACCCAAACCTATATGAATCATGTAAAAAATTTTTACTATTTTTATTATTTTTATTATATTTTACAAAATTAAATTATTTCATACACAAACATTTTCTTTTTTAAAAAATCCCCTTATTGATCTTCAAACTTCTTTTTCACTTTATACAGTATCTCTTTTTTGTGAGTCATCTTTAACAACATTATCTTTTCTTGTTTTTTTTTTTAATTTCGTTGTTTCAAATTTTGCTAAATATTAATGGTTTAGAAAATTTTGAACTCTAATTCTTTCTTTGTTAAGTCCTTTCAAATTTTTTCGTATTTATAATAAAATTTTATTTTTCATCTCTTCCTATTAAATGTTTTTAATAAAAAGATATTTTCCTATAAAAAAATTGGATATGTTTTTTATAAAGTTTTATACGATTTTTTTTCCTTAGAAATAACGTATCATGAAAGGATACGGGAAAATGCACAATTTCGTATCACTAAAAATATGGTTTGGATACGGAATTTACATGGAATTTACATGATTTGATCACTGATTTTATCATTAAATTTATACGATTTGGTCACTGAATTTACCATTTATATTACAGTTTATTATAGTTGTATTTACATAAATTTAGTTCTACTTTATTAAATTAAATAAAAAATAAAAATAAACAAAATACAAATACATTAAATACATTATTAAAATTCCCTTTCTTATCAAAACCACCTATTGCAACCAAAATTATCTATAATATGTTCGGGTTCATTCAGAGTCAAACAACCTAAAAAAAACAAAAAAATAGTAACATAAGAACGTCTAACTTAACTGGAAACCAAAACCTCCTTATATAGTACTATCTGCAATCGTCCAAGTCACCAAGGGTTAGTATCCCTACAAAAAAGAAAAAGAACTCCAGAATGTCTGACCTATATAAAAGAAAAGAATTATGAAACGTCTGATGAAAAAGAAACCAAAACAACCTACAAAAGAAAAAAAATCCAGAATTGACCAACAAAAAAAAAAAGAAGACTCTGAAGCAACAAAACTGAAAAAACCTACAAAAAGAAAAGAATTTGAACTCAACTTACAAAAAAAAAAAGAAAATTTGAACTGACCTAAAAAAAGAAAAAAATCCTAACCATATTACAAAAAGAAAAGGACTCCCAAACTGATCTACAAAAAAGAAAAAAGAAATTCTCAAAAAAAAAATCTGCTGGACTATGAAAAAAAGTATAAATAAAAAAGAAAAGGGAGTGAGTGGGGAATAAAAGAATAAATCAAAAAAATATTTTTCTTTAAAAAGAGGGGTGACGAAGTTAGAAAAGTTAAAAAAAAATTTTTAAAAAAGAAGAACGATTTTTTTTTAAAAAAAAGGAAAGGGTGGTGAGTGGGGAATAAAAGAATAAAGTCAAAAAAAAATTTTTTTTAAAAGAGTGACGAAAAAAAAATTTTTTTTAAAGGAGAGTGACGGAAAAAAAATTTTTTTTAAAGAGAGGTACAAAAAAAAAATTCTTTTTAAAGGGAGGTGACGAAGAAAGAAGAAAGAAAAATTTTTTTAAAATAAAAATAAGACGAGAGAAAGGGGAAGATTCAAAGTAAGGGTTTATATAAAAACAAAAAACGTATCATAACAAAATAATAAACAATCATGTGATCACGTGTTATGATACGTTATTATCCTAAAAATATTAAGTTTAATGTTCACATGGAAATTAAAAATAAAAATAAAAATATTAAGTTTAAAAATTCCGTATACATTCCGCATGACTAATTTTTTTCGTATACATTAGTTTTTTAAAAAAATGTTCCTTATTAAATATACGGAATTTGTATACGGAATCTATAGAAACATACATAAAAATGTATACAAAACGTATCCTTTCCGTACACAGATTTCTTATAGAGTTTCTTAACGTAACGTTAACCTGTATTTTTGTGCAAAAAGACTATATATTTAACCTTTTTATCATATTGTTTCAATTGTTCCATCCTTTAACCATATTTTTCTCTAAAAAAAGTTTGGTCAATTGATTCAACTACAGTAAAAAGATTTTGAGCGAATTAAAAACTCTCATTTAAGAATGAGTAATTTGCCTAAATACGAAGGAGTGAAAAGAATAGTTATTTATTTAATATCTGAACCAAATGAAAATAAAACCAATTATTGCCGTTTTCAGAAATGTTGACATTAGAATGTCGATCAGTTCTATAAATCGAACACACCGAACACACACCGAACACAGCAATTAAAATTAAAAAAAAACAAATTTTCCTTTAAAAAAAACAAAATTAAAACCTTAGCTGTTAGTAATATATTTTTAGGTAGTGTGCATAAAAAAATGTATAAACATTATATTATTTACATATATGTATTTGCTTGTATTTGCCAATGTTCGGTGTGTTTGGTGTGTTCGTTTGTGTTCGGTGTGTGTTCGGTACAAATTTTCATATTTTCAATTTTATTCATATCTAAAAAGTGACAAAAATAGTTTTTATATAAAGTTATGCATGAATACTTCAAGTTTGCATAATTTTTTGTATGTGATCACCGGTGTGTTCGGTGTGTTCAGTATAAAATGGTCAAAATTTCAGATTGTCAACATTTCTGAAAATGGCAATAAGTAAATAAATTTCAGGTTTATAAGAACCGAAAAGGTACCACACTACCACCTAATAATAAATAAATTCTCCAGTTTATAAGAACCAAAAAAAAGGTATTTAACATTAAAATAACGATAAAAGTAAAGGCCGTTATACATTAGCAATCTGCTGCGGTCAACGTACACATGGATTATACAATCTTCCCCAGTATCACCGACACTTTTTCCACCCCACGTGATTTTGTAATATTCATCACCGGCATCACACTCCACCGCGTTTTCACTGTTTATATTTATCTGAGGGACTTAGGTTTTTTTTGCCTCACAAAATTATGTTTTTCACATCCCTTTAAATGTCACCGGTCACGTGGGGGTGGAATTTTAATTATAAAAGTGTCGGTAATACTGGGGTAAATGGATTATACACTATTCATAACGTGATGATGTGCAATGATGACTGCGCTTTGATAACCGTTCCCTAGTTTTATGAATGAAAGAATATGTCATGTCTAAGTAATCTAAATAATCTTGCAGATTAGACTCTATAAAAAAGTTATTCCGTGTTTTTTATTCCATGTTATTTCCGTAAATGTATCATATTCACGGAATTTATAGTCAGAACATGGAAATTATCCAAATTTCTTAGATTTTAGTTATTTTTACGTAAATATATCAGATATCATATTCTGATATCTACGGAGTTTTTATAGAAATTACAGATAAAATTTTTTACAGGGAGATTCTTAAACTAAGATGTATATACTATCTAGTGTATTAAAATAAATGTCCATCCAAAAAACAATTATTTTAAAGCGATGCAAAAACCATAAAAACTTTTTATTAATATTGTTAATTTGATAAGCTGTTAATGTATAAAATATAATAACCCTAATTGAATAAGAAAAGCTATAAATAATTCCTTTAAAGTATTAAACAATAAATTACAAATAGGCAATTAGTAACATTTTAAATTTTGCTGTGATATATAGAATTAATTCTGTAAACTACAATCAGCAATAAGCTAATTTAATAATTTAATTTAACTGTTGCAATAATAAATTAAAATATTTTAATATAAGTAAACAATATAAATGTAATTAACAAAGAATTATAAACTTACTGCATTGATCAGATGATTGAGTATATTCTGAGGATTCATTGTTTGTTTGTGAATCGGGGTCTAAATTTTCATTATCTTTTACAGATAATAATTTTTTTTTCTTTTGTAAATATAATATTAAGTTAATATAAACAATAAAACTTAAAGAAAAAATAAATACACACCTTTGATTGATTTATTTCTAGTGTTGATTCCAAAACCCATTTTTTCAAATTCATCCAACACTTTATTGATAATTGGTCTTTGTTCGGGAACTTGATTCCAGCAATTTTTATAAAGTCCTTCATATTCAATAGGAGTATCAGGAATTGTAACTTCACGAACACCATTGTTAATTTCAAAAGCAAGTGCAACTTTATTATCACAATCTTTAAATGGAGGATATCCACTAGAAATTTCCCACATTAATACACCAAAACTATATATATCTGATGATTTAGTATATGGAAAATTCTGATCTAAAATACGGTTTGGTTCCATATAAGGAATAACGCCAAAATTACCCATATAAACTGTCGAATTCGGATCATTTTGAATTTTTGAAATACCAAAATCTGTAATTTTAGCATTATGCTCATGAATAACTATGTTTTTAGAATGCTAAGACAAAAAAGTACGACATTGTTAGTAATTACCAATTTGTATTATAGTAAAATATCAAATACACTTACAAGGTCTCTATGCAAAATATTTTCGTTATGCAAATAATTTAATCCATCTGCAATTTGAAACGCTAATTTTTTCTTATCATCCCATGTTAAATTCTTAAAATTATCTTTGAGATAATTTTGAAGATCACTACAATCAGCATATTGCATTATAAGAAGATAATCATTCTTTATCGGATCTATAAAATTTAATGATAATTAAATATAAAATAAAAATAAAAAGTACATCATAATCCTTTTTTTACCTAAACTAATGCCCAAACAACGTATAATCCTATTACTATAGTCAAGCTGTAAATGTATTTTCAATTCATGAATAAAAGCATCTAATAAATTATGCTTAATATCTGTTGTATTAGTTAATTTTTTACAAATAACATAATCATGTATTTTAGTCCAAATTGCTCTACTAATATGTCCAAATCCTCCTTTATTAATAGATTCTATATTTTCAAATTCATCATATGGTATAAATTTAACTTGTTTATATTTTAAGGCATTTTTAATCCATTCAGTTGCATTTTTACTTTCCTTTTCTGCTTTTTTAAACCACTCAAATGCTTTAACATCATATTTTTCAATATCACTTTCATTACTAATTATAACATATTGTGCTTCCTCATCTCTATTTGCTGCTGCTTTTTGATACCAATAAAAAGCCTTGACTTCATCTTTTTTAGTACCAGCTCCATTGTTATAACATATACTTAAATTAAATTGTGCATTTTTATTTCCATTTTTTGCTGCTTTTTGATACCAATAAAAAGCTTTTTCCAAATCTTTTTCAATGCCAACTCCATTTTCATAACATAAACCTAAATTATATTGTACAGGTTCATTTCCATTACCTGCTGCTTTTTGATACCAATAAAATGCAGTTTCCTCATTTTTTTCAACACCATTTCCATTTTCATAACACAAACCTAAATTATATTGTGCATTTTCATTTCCATTTTCTGCTGCTTTTTGATACCAATAAATAGCTTTAAATTGATCCATCTCAATACCAGTTCCATTTTCATAACATAAACCTAGGTTATATTGTGCATTTCTATTTCCATTTTCTGCTGCTTTCTGATACCAGTAAAAAGCTTTATCCAAATCTTTATTAATGCCAGTTCCATTTTCATAATATAAACCCAAATTAAATTGTGCATTACTATTTTTATTTTCTGCTTTTTGATACCAATAAAAAGCTTTGACATCATCTTTTTTAATACCAACTCCTTTTCCATAATACAAGCCTAAATTATATTGTGCATTTTTATCTCCATTTTCTGCTGCTTTCTGATACCAATATAAAGCTTTTTCCAAATCTTTTTCAATGCCAATTCCATAATCATAATATAAACCTAAGCTATATTGTGCATTATTATTTCCATTTTCTACTGCTTTCTGATACCAATATAAAGCTTTTTCCAAATCTTTTTCAATGCCAATTCCATTTTCATAAAAAAGACCAAGTTTATTTTGTGCATCACCATGTTCTTTTTCTGCTAAATCCTTAAAACATTCAATTGCTTTAACAATATCTTTTTTAGTACCAATTTCATTCTCATAACATAAACCCAATTGATATCGTGCTTTTATATTTCCACTTTCTACTGCTCTTTGATACCAATAAAAAGCTTTATCCTCATCTTTTTTAACACCAATTCCATTTTCAAAACATAGTCCTAAATTATATTGTACACGTTTATTTCCATTTTCTGCTGCTTTTTGATACCAATAAAAAGCCTTTACTCTATTTTCTTCAATACCAATTCTGTTTTCATAACATAAGCCTAAATTATATTGTGCATTATTATTTCCTTTTTCTGCTGCTTTTTGATACCAATAAAAGGCTTTTTCAAAATCTTTTTCAATACCTGGTATTCCACTTTGGTAATATAATCCTAAATAATACTGTGCATTATTATTTCCATTTTCTGCTGCTTTCTGATACCAATATAAAGCTTTTTCCAATTCCTTTCAATGCCAATTCCATTTTCATAAAAAAGACCAAGTTTATTTTGTGCATCACCATGTTCTTTTTCTGCTAAATCCTTAAAACATTCAATTGCTTTAACAATATCTTTATTAGTACCAATTTCATTCTCATAACATAAACCCAATTGATATCGTGCTTTTATATTTCCACTTTCTACTGCTCTTTGATACCAATAAAAAGCTTTATCCTCATCTTTTTTAACACCAATTCCATTTTCAAAACATAGTCCTAAATTATATTGTACACGTTTATTTCCATTTTCTGCTGCTTTTTGATACCAATAAAAAGCCTTTACTCTATTTTCTTCAATACCAATTCTGTTTTCATAACATAAGCCTAAATTATATTGTGCATTATTATTTCCTTTTTCTGCTGCTTTTTGATACCAATAAAAGGCTTTTTCAAAATCTTTTTCAATACCTGGTATTCCACTTTGGTAATATAATCCTAAATAATACTGTGCATTATTATTTCCATTTTCTGCTGCTTTCTGATACCAATATAAAGCTTTTCCCAAATCTTTTTCAATGCCAATTCCATTTTCATAAAAAAGACCAAGTTTATTTTGTGCATCACCATGTTCTTTTTCTGCTAAATCCTTAAAACATTCAATTGCTTTAACAATATCTTTTTTAGTACCAATTTCATTCTCATAACATAAACCCAATTGATATTGTGCATTTTCATTTCCATTATCTGCTGCTTTTTGATACCAATAAAAAGCTTCTTTAAAATCTTCTTCAATACCAATTCTACTCTCATAGCATAAGCCTAAATTATATTGTGCATTTTCATTTCCATTATCTACTGCTTTTTTATACCAAAAAAAAGCTTTAACTTCATCTTTTTCAACACCAATTCGATTTTCAAAACATAGTCCTAAATTATATTGTACAAGTTTATTTCCATTTTCTGCTGCTTTTTGATACCAATAAAAAGCTTCTTCAAAATTTTCTTCAATACCAATTCCATTCTCATAACATAAGCCTAAATTATATTGTGCATTTTCATTTCCATTATCTGCAGCTTTTTGATACCAATAAAAAGCTTTTACTTCATCTTTTTCAATGTAAACTCCATTTTTATAATATAAATACAAATTATATTGTGCATTCTTATCTTTAATTTCTATTACTTTTTGGCACCAATATAAAGTATTGTTTTTCTTATTTTGACAAAAAGTTTTATTCTTTTTAGTATTATTTTCTGCTTTTTGATACCAATAAGAAGCTTTTTGCAAATCTTTTTCAATATTGATTCCATTTTGATACCATAAACTTAAATGATATTGTGCTATAATACTTTCATTCTCCGCCGCTTTTTGATACCAATAAAAAGCTTTGGCATCATTTTTTTTAATACCAACTCCTTTTCTATAACACAATCCTAAATTATATTGTGCATTTTTATTCCCATTTTCTGCTGCTTTCTGATACCAATGGAAAGCTTTAATTTCATCTTTTTTAATACCAATTCCATTTTCATAGCATAAACCTAAACTATATTGTGCATTTCTATTTCCATTTTTTGCTGCTTTCTGATACCAGTAAAAAGCTTTTTCCAAATCTTTTTTAATAACAATTCCATTTTCATAATATAAACCTAAACTATATTGTGCATTATTATTTCCATTTTCTGCAGCTTTTTTACAAAAATAAAAAGCTTTAGTCTCATCTTTTTTAACACCAATTCCATTTTTGTAACACAACCATAAATTATATTGTGCATTTTCATTTTCATCTGCTGCTTTTTGGTACCAATAAAAAGCTTTATTTTCATTTTTTTCAATACCAATTCCATTCTCATAACATAAACCTAAATTATACTGTGCAGATTTATTTCCATTTTCTACTGCTTTTTTATACCAATAAAATGCCTTAATTTCATCTTTTTCAATATCCATTTCATTTACAGTTTCTTCATTTTTTTTAATACTAATTTCATTTTCATAATATAAACCTAGCTCATATTGTACATTATTGTTATTATTTTCTGCTTCTTTTTGAAACCAATAATTAGCTTCATCTTTTTTTATATTAAATCCATTTTTATAATATAAGCTTAAATCATATTGTGCATTATTATTTTCATTTTCTGCAGCTTTTTGAAGCCAATAAAAAGCTTTAACTTTATCTCTTTTAATTTTAGTTTCAATTTTAGTTTCAATATTATACAATAAACTTAACCTATACTGTGCACATTTATTTTCGTTTTTTGCTGCTTTTTCATACCAATAATAAGCTTTATTCAAATAATTATCAATGCCAGTTCCATTTTCATAATACAAACCCAAATTATATTGTGCATTGCTATTTTCATTTTCTCCCGCTTTTTGATACCAATAGAAAGCTTTAGCTTCTTCTTTTTCAATACCAATTCCATTTTCATAACACAAACCCAAATTATATTGTGCATTATTATTTCTATTTCCTGCTGCTTTTTGAAACCATTTAAATGCTTTAGCTTCATCTTTCTCAATCCCGATTCCATTTTTATAACATATACCTAAATTATATTGTGCATTATTATTTTCATTTTCTGCTGATCTTTGACACCAATAAAAAGCTTTAGTCTCATCTTTTTCAATACCAAAACCATTTTGATAGCATAGGCTTAAATTATATTGTGCATTATTATTTTCTTTTTCTGCTGCTTTTTGATACCAATAAAAAGCTTTAGTTTCATTCTTTTCAGTACTAATTCCATTTTCATAATACAAACCCAAATTGTATTGTGCTCTATCATTTTCATTTTCTGCTGCTTTTTGAAACCATTGAAATGCTTTAGCTTCATCTTTTTCAATACCAATGATATTAGTTCCATTTTGATAACATAAGCCTAAACTATATTGTGCATTATTATTTCCATTTTCCGCAGCCATTTGATACCAATAAAAAGCTTTGTATTCATATTTATTAATGCCAACTCCATTTTCATAACATAAACCTAAATTATATTGTGCATCATTATTTCCATTATGTGCAGCTATTTGATACCAATAAAAAGCTTTACCTTCATCTTTTCCAATACCAGTTCCATTTTCATAACACAAACCCAAATTATATTGTGCATTATTATTTTCATTTTCTGCTGCTTTTTGATACCAATAGAAGACTTTAGCTTCATTTTTTTCAATACCAATTCCATTTTTGTAGCATAT